TTCATTGTCGTGAACTCGATGATGGGCTACAAAGCCAGCTTTCGATTTGCAGCACTTGCCACATTCCTCACACGTGAACCCAACGAGTCTCTCCTGTGTACTGGTTGGAACTGGTGCGGAGGCGCCAGATGATTCGTAGTATACATTGTCGAAAGTAACCAGCACATTGAAACCAGACGGGGTGGTTGGCCCTGTCTGGAGTTGCTGAACTCTTAGCTCACCCAGACAGACGTCCAGGCTACCCGGTCGGCACCACGAGGAGGTGGTTCAGCTCGCCGGCCAGGTTCAGCTCGCCGGCCATAACTCATAATCTCATAACTCATAATCTACTAAGTAGTTGAAAACCACATCGCTGTTTCGCTCTCTCAGTACGCAACAGGATCAGTTAGATCTTCTATGCGTATCAATTGTTGTAAATGCGGAACTTGCGAGGAAAATAAGAAAAACACGCTGCATTAATAGCACTTCGCTGTCCACCTTTGTCTCGAACTAGATACCGAATTCGACAGTGTGCAGCTCAGTAAATTGACTCACTTCACTCCGCTCCTTAATACCGGCGAAGTCAGGTCGATTGTTTATGAAATATTTGCTATCAGAGTGCTCAGCTCAGCGAATAAAACAACCACAATCTACGCTACCAACATTCTCCTCAATTGCAAAACTGGATATCCCGATATCAGTAATACGGATCTCATAACCAACCATCTCCCAAGCCCAATTCCGACAGCTTCCAATGGCGGGTCCGGTTCTAGAATGTAGCCACTACATACACTTTAGATAGGTGGTACTTTCGACTTGATCAACACACTAGGTATGTCGGCGAAATCGCTGGCTTACAGGGTCAGAAAGATAAACTTAGCGGTGATCAGACTTTAGAGGAGGTGAATTTTTAGGACGAGAAAAAAAAACTATGTACAGCAATACAGCCAGATTAGAGAAACGGGGGTGAAAAACAGACGGTGTTGCACTAGAAGTCCTCGAGCGCCTCAGTTTGACAATCATGGCTTGCGACGTATGATTATTCGGACCATTGCAGCGTGTGGTAGCGGATATAGTAGGATAAAAGGTGATCGTGGGCTAATAAAACACACAAAAACAAAACAGCGGTTTAAAAAATCAGGAGCAACAGAACAGGTGAAACAGCGGCACTGGTTGCGTAACACTACCATGTTGGTGGATATCTTCATCTTCGAGATGTCACATGAAAGTTCTCGATGACAGCAAACATATAACAAAGATGGCTAATCTCCTGACAGACTTTGGTACGTTGAAACAAACTGGGGACCAAAATACAAGGTTAGATAGTGCGATTGTGAGTGCTGTTAAAGTTACCAGCTCCATACCTCAACTCACCAGTGATCCAAATATCACCATCTTCATCCATTTTTGCACCATCGCCAGCCATGTAATAACCGGGAAAGCGGGAGAAATAGACCTCTTCGAATCGTTTGTGATCGCCGAAAACGGTGCGCATCATTCCGGGCCAGGGTTTGGCGAACACCAGATAGCCTTCAACTTCGACGCCACGGTGCTTCGCTTCCGGCGTCAAATCCTCACCCCTGTCAGAAAAGATCCGTGCGTCTATGCCAAAAAACGGCTGAGTCGCACAACCAGGCTTCGTTGGTGTGGCACCGGGCAAGGGGGTGATTACATGACCACCGGTTTCTGTTTGCCAAAAGGTGTCCACAATCGCGCACCGCCCCCCACCAACAACGTTATGATACCACTCCCATGCGGTAGGATTGATAGGTTCACCAACACTACCAAGAATCTGGAGATCACATTGCAAGGAAGAACCGGACGGCGAAATGAGAAAGAAAGGAAAATAAAGTCAGAATATTAAGGAAACAGAAAGCGTGATCTGGTCCGCAAAAAGCGACGTTTTTTTAAGTTATTGGAAACTTGTTATCAGAACAGGATGGCACAATTTTGTGACCAAGAAAGTCGTTGCCAGAGACATGCTTTGTCAATCGAATCAGACAAAACTATTGCGGGTAAAACAGTGCTACTTCACAAACAGGGGCCCTAAGCTAAGTGCATAACTTACGCGTAAACTCTTTCGACTGTGTTTGAGGACGCACTCATCACCGGCAGCCATCAATGTTCGTATGGCGGTCGGAGCGGTGTAGAACTTCGTGACTTTGTATCGATCAACAATAGCCCAACAACGACCGGAGTCTGGCCATGTGGGAATACCCTCGAATATGACGCTGGTGGCGCCGTTCAACATCGGACCATACACGACATAGGTGTGACCTGGTGAGGTGAAAGAAGAAAGTAGGCTCTCGAAACTATGCCAAATAAGCAGCTGGAAAGAGAAGTCAAGTAATAGAGACACTCAATCGTTCATATAGAATACCAATTTGCACGGAACAGTAGTCAGTTCTCTCGTTTTCGCGATTAATTGGACACTATAAGGGAAAGCTGGTTAATGGAGCAGATATGTAAAGCACCCGGCGAAAATGTTTGAAACTGAAACCTCTCCAAAATCACTTCTAATTACGAAGGACCGAGGTCGAAAGGCCAGAGTACGCTTCAGCTTCAACTGCTTCTGATTCAAAGTTGACAGTAATTTTCCGTTTTTTAGTAACCCAAACGTGTCCACTTGGAGAATGATGCTCAGTTTAATTGGAGCGGATCAATTAGCAATTGGCAATGGTGATAGTACTTGACAAGCAACAGTCTTATTAAAGGCTGCAACGAAAGGAAGATTTTCGCCCGATGAAGGGACCTTAGTGGATTGGCGTGCCAAAAACCATTATGAATATATATCCAAGAAATTCACTGGCATCCTTAGGAGTGTTCTTTTGATCAATGAAGCGTGAAGTCACGCTTCAAAACGTACACTGCCTCCATTCCAATTTGATTTCGTAGTCGATGGAATAAGAGGAACGCTGGAAGGGTTCCAAAACTCTGGTGTTCAGATAGCTGCTGAAGAAAACCTTGTCAATCTGGAATAAGCAGACATCGTTCTCGTCTTCGAAGAGAAGGCTCAGGTGTTTTGGGTGAACTGACCAAAGTCATACCGTCCTTTGTCATGCGCTTTGCAATGTAGGGTCATGCAGTCACTGAGCACACCAATTGTAATCCCAGGAGAGACAATCGAGGTTGTGGAACGTTTTACGTGTCTTGGAAGGTGTATCAGTTCCGACTGTAGTGACAAAGGAGGTCAACGCACGAGTCTGCGAGGCTCGGGTCGCGGCTGCTAATTTGAGACACTTATAGCGTCAAAGTCGTCTACCAGGATGGAGTACGAGCTGTTTTGTTGTATGGTTGTGGGACTTGGCCTGTTCGAGCAGCGGAACTGAGACGTCTTCAGGCATTCAACAATCGTTGTCTCAGGACAACAGCTTGTGTGAGTTGCTGTGGGAGAACCTAAAACGAGGTAATTAGAAAGCAAGTGTCCGGCTGTGCAATGGGGTCTTTCGTCTAATAACGTGTCCAGCATCACAGCTGCGTTGGTTAGGCCATGAATTGCGCATACCGAGCCATCATTTTCAGAAATATAGAGGTTTCGAAAAGTTTGAGTGCTGGCGTTATGGTCAAACTCCCACGGTGGAGTCCTTGGGACCATTAACGTGCTTGGTTTGGAGCGCTGTCAGATATTGCGTTTAGTCGATGTTACTGACCATTGTGCTGTTAGTTTCTTCTATATTGTTTTGGTGAGCGTCTGGAAGTACAGACATCTCCCAATCAAAGCGGTTGGCTGACACCAGGCTGCATGCCTACTTTCCTCTATTTTTCCTTAAGTCAACACTGAAAATGCTATCTACGATGATGGTCGTCGCGCGCAGTAACAATATGCATGGCATACAGTAAGGTGATAATAGTGGGACCAACGGTGTGACAGGAGGACTAGGTTAGATCAGCTGACATTACGCAGGCCTTTCGATCTTCGAGCGTTATTTTCCAAGAGGACTTTCTATCAGCTGTTTCACTTGACGTCTGGCAAGAGCAAAGCAAATGCAAGAATATACTGCAGATGGATGATCACATACTTCATATCAAACGATATGCGGGGTTCTCTTCGTGGCATGGACTGACCTCTAGAGTATTTTTAAGCACAACTGGAAAAAAGTGGAAGTATTTCAAAGCCTCACAACATAATTAAAGCATTACCTCCCTAAGAAAGTAAGAGGGACATGAGGGACAATATAATCGCATGATCAAGGCGTGATGAGCTAAATTTTAGTGTGGCTAAACGACAGAAAAACGCGGCTAAAGCTACTTCACCCTTGGGCAAAGGCCAATTTTGTTACCTAAACTCATTCCACCACCCCCTACCCCTCGAAAAACCCTAATCCTTAAACGATGTTCCGCCAGAACAACCCAAGTTAATCGAAAGTAGGAGCCAATCGGCTGAGGGAATTTCTACGTCGACAAATGGCACGGCTCTCTCTTATGGACGAGCGCGTTTTGTGGAAATATGGATTAAATGCTCAAGAGGCATGCACCAACTATCGCAAAAACCCCACCGAAAAAGACCTAAGGCGGTGTGGGTATAGTTGTATCAAAAACAGACTCTCTCTAACGTAGTCCTGATGTGTTCGACAAAAATTATTCGGTCACACAAGATGCCAACCATCGTTCAAAATCAAGCGTTTCAGGGATTTTACCGCATCACAAGAGGAGTGCCATCGCATAACCACTTAGTGAATTCAAAGTGGATTGGAGTTTTGTTATCACGACTGAGCCATGGTTCATGAGTGGTACTCCTGTCTTGATTGCTGTCAATATGCAAAACACTGTCAGATTAATAAATGCTTTATGTGATTGATCGGGTAGGAAGTGCACACGGATCAGTACCTAGAGGCACGACCAAGTGATGGCGAACAATTACTCGACTGGGATATCGATAATGAAGATGAACTAGAGTGATGTGAGGCAAAAAATAAGCGATATAGTACCTGGAAGTTCCGCGTCTGAGACGCTCAGATGTGAGCGATTAATGTTTGTCTCTACTACCCCGTTACAAAGAAATCAACGCACATGTGTTGAGGCCGGACATGGCACCGGCTGTAGGATCTGTCGCCATGAGCACCTTTAGTGTCTGTGTCCAGCATGATCATGCGAACGCATCGAGGTAGTTGCTGACCATTGTCGGTAAAACAGTGTCTGATATGAACTGTGTGTCATGTTTGCAATTCAGAGTCCTTTCGATCTGGATGCAACACACCGATATTATCCTGTAATGTACAAAACCCTGGCTACTGTATCAAACTAAGTATTTCTTGTTGGTTTATGCACAGTTCCGTTGTATGTTTATAGACCGAAAGTCCTGGTGGAGAATTCGCAAGTACCATGCAGTGCACAGGCAGAGCGTCCATACTTTCATAATCCTACATGACAGCACTTTACATCAAATGACCACGTGGTTACACATTGTCCCATTATTCTTGATTTCACAGACTCGTAATGATAAAGGAAGCTTAAGTTGATGAGAAACTGGCGGCGATCCTGCCAGTCTACAGTAAACCATCTCTGGGCTATCCCATGTGATATGAATGTTACCTGAAGCCTCCGTTTCGGTCTCATCAACGGTTTACACCGGCATCCTGGTTACCGTGAGCGCACATTTCGTGCTGATTTATGCCGCACCTTCTGTATATGTAACAGTCTCATGCCCAAACTCATTTCGGGGATAACCACATGATAGGAGCTGTCAGGCTGTCAGGCACACAGAGGGTAGTGTTATGTGAAGGTCGACTGTTAAGAAGACAACTAGATATGAACCCCACTACTGCAGCTGAATGGAAGCTGGAACGTAGTTGAGCGTTAACGACAGAATGAGACTGAACCAATTATTTGACACCCGGTGGTCGCGTTCGCTGTTAGCGTGCACTAAGAGTAGTCAGTAAGTGGAACGAGCGTAAGCAGCACACCGTTAAACAACGCCGAGTTAAATCACCATAATTCACGCTACGACTTTCAACCTGAAGGATGGGTGGTGTAATAGAGATCACAGTGATATTCGGGTCGACCTTAAACATAGTTAGGGGTCTCAGCTTGAGATAGAGATGGGTCAGTTGTGAGGCATTAGCTGGATGCATGGACTGGAAGCTATAGATCTTGAGTTTCCGAATTCCGAGATCACGAACAGTGTTTGTTAGAGAACTGTAAATTGCCTTACAGAACCAGCGTTTGGATAAGTGAAAAAAAACATCAAAACAACAACCAAAATTAACGAGGAATAAGCGTAAAACGATATCGATAGACCACAGCATCCAAAGTGGATATCCGATTGGTGTTTTCGGAGGTGAGGTATGCTCAGAATATTGCATGTATAATTATGCATGAGAACGCTCCAAACCATCACCAGAAGTAAATAAAGCCACAAGATTCTAAACCCAAACTCCGAAGAGGGAGCAGAACGAAGCAACCAGAAAAGAATAAACGTGGTAACACTAACCTGTAATCCAACCGGCATCGGCAGTGCACCAGTATACGTCCTCAGGATGGTAATCAAAGGTGTAGAAAAACGTGGTGGCTGCGTACACCATATAGCCACCCACTGTATGCACCACACCTTTGGGCTTGCCTGTGCTTCCACTTGTGTACAGAATGAACAGAGGATCCTCTGAATTTATCCACTCAATGGGGCAGTCAGTGTCATCAGACAAACTTTCCATCAAATCGCTCCACCAAACATCACGACCAGATTTGAGCTCCAGGTCTATGCTGTCAAATCAAAAGAACAAACCAAGTAGGTAAGAAAAGCATGACATCACTGTTCAACACTGCACTGATTACGACTATGATTTACTTGAAAGCCTCATTGTGAAGAAAAGAATAAAGGAGGATGGGGAAGGGATTCAGTGCTAGCTTGCTACTATTTTATAGTATGTACATGGTAGTATATATACACATACATGGTATATATGAAGTTTATATATTGTATAGTATTGCCGCATTAAACAAAAATCTCGGAATACGACAGTGAATATAAGGTTGATGAAAACTACGTGACAGTCCTTTCTGGGCCTCATCATGCAAGACTAGTCCCCATATTTTATCAATCTTATATCTCATCTCCCTTGTCAACGAAAGCTTATCAACTGATAGCTCAAACGTAAGTGAAAACCAGCAAAAAGTCACTGGTGAATCGATATACCTTTGAGCTGGACGAACACCCAGGGAACCGTGGTCGACTTGGGCACCGTTAACTTCATTGGGTCTGGTAGGCATCATAGTCACATGACGCAGAATGATGCAATGACGTACAGGATGACCATTTTCCTCACACATTTGGAGCGCAGCAGATGCATTGGCCTTTAGATCGATCAATTTCGTTCCCCTCCAAGTTCCATCGCAGGTTATCAAGACTCTGCACCTGAAATTCGGACGTGTGGTACAGGGAAAACGATTTTCGACCATCTTAAAACACGTTAAAAAGGGAGTCACCAGACGAGCTAGGCTGCTTTCAATAAATGAAACAGTGTAGCAGCAAAAATATTACGATGGAAAAGCTTATGCGAAAACTTGAAAAGTTGCGAAACAGCAGTATTAGAAGGGGACCAAACCCAACAACCTCACGATATTCTCGATGTTAAAGATCACCGAAAAAGACAGAATCAAGAGAAATGGTAAAATATAAGCTAAGCTACAGATCCAAAAAATGGATGATCCGCGACGAATTTTGATGTTTTTTGCGTGGTATAACTGCACATAAATTTACTGAACTTTTCGGAGCTAATGCGAATAGAGGGAAGCATCCAAAAAAGGAATGGGCAAACAAGATGATCACTCGTTGTGGGCAGCAGGATTACAAGTAGCCAGCGATCTCTGACAATAAAGATTGAACAAGTCTTGCACTTCATTGATCCTATCCGGAGTGTCCATGTGTCCCATAACTTGTTGGCCAATGAGCAGAAATTTCTGGAAAACGGTGTTCAGTGCGTCCACCTATGGGACCTAAGGTGGCGTTTGGCGAGAGAGCACCATCAACATTCTCAACGAAAGCAGCTATTTACATAGTGCAGCCGTGCGCAGAATCGATCTCCACTTTACAGCCCCGGATTTAAAACACTATGTTTATTGAAACAGACTAAACTGAAACAGTATTTACGCAATCGCTGTCCAAAATCCAGTGGCTCTCAGCCTCAATTGTAAAATTCTAACAAAACATGGAAAAATAAACTGGTTACGTACTTGGCATCAGTAATTCGGCTCGCCAAGGCGGAGGCAGAAAACCCTCCGAATACGACTGAATGCACCGCTCCAATACGTGCACAAGCCAAGATTGCAACGATAACCTCCGGAACCATTGGCATATATATTGCGACACAATCGCCCTTCTGAACTCCAAGAGACCGCAAAGCATGGCCAAACTTTTTCACCTACAGAGAAAAATAACAAACTAGAGCGGAAGTACAGAGCCATGTGACATTCGTTCATTGAACAATTCGAACAATTAATCTATCGCTCTTCTATCACTATTCTGCAGTAACATAATACGACGACCTTGGATTCGACTCGAACAACAAATGGAGTGGGGTATATATACGCACAGAAGTAAAAAAAACAGGATATTGGATTGGATAAAAGGACCTGTAACAAGCTCAATGGCACTAGGCCATTACACTGCCTCCAAGGTAAAGTTAGAAATCAGGATGAAACGTTATCATCATATCTGTGTTTTCCATCTAGGTCACTCAAAGGTGTGCGGTAGCCAATTGAGGTGACGGCATCAGTTTCCGTCCCCGGCCTTGAAGGATTCAACTGGCAAGTGAACACAATTAACACACCAAAATGGTGAAGATTAGCAAATCTTCACTTAAGAGCACCAAAGAATTCTGGACTACCATTGACTTGATTGAGTCCCATCCGTGAGTTCATAGCAACAGTAAGTTATATATTAGACTTCACAAGTTACAAAGTTTTCAGTGGTGAGCAGTCCCACGTGTTGGGAAAAGTCCAGAAACTGTAAGTAGGAGAACATCTGGATATCGAAACACTTACGTAGCCGCAAAACTGACCAAATGATATAAAACGTCTGGTTATTACAGAGAATTTTAATGCCCGTCATTTAATGCAACATAACTTTTGGACACATGCACTTCACTCGAATGCACATCTGTGCTCAAACTCATCCGCACGTCCCGTTTCAGCTAGAAGGACAGTGATTACCAAAAATTTAGAGACGACCTATTTATGGGATTGCTCGAGCTAGCTGGTGTGACAGGATCAACCAACACAAGACTTGGAGATGAGAATTGCCCTGTCAACTGTGGGGAAACTGGGTCATATGACGGTTATACACAATACTGTAAATCGGAGATTGTGTTGGACGTTTGCATACCCCGACATACCCTTCGCCAGTGTTGGAAATCCACATCAGGCTCCTGCCAGATGTTTTAAAACCGTCTACAAGATTGCGACAGATCTTCTGTTAGAGCGTTCCAACCGCTGGCCACTGTGCCGATGTTACGTTTCGACATTTAGATTGCGACAGTCTATAGACGGTAGTAGGTTTTGTTTCTGTGAAATCGAGTGGTAACACAAAAATATCTATAAAAACGAAGGAGTGGATCGCTTATGAAGGAAAACAACGCTGGCCCCAGAAATTGTTTCAGAAACAAAGAGCCTCACATCTAATGAAACTCTGTGTTGCCCAGAAACTGATCCGGAGTGATAAAGTTAGCATGGTGAGCTGGTACGGGACCTTAAGGGGTTCTAGCCTCAAATCAGGTAGGCAGACTACGAGTGAAGGAGCACCGCATACACCCTAGGAATACGGAGCGCGCGACTTGCTTTTTTCAAATGAAGTAGATATTTTCACGCATTGAATGCTTCTGCTCGTATATTCTTCGTCTCAGTCAGAGGTGGCTCAAAGGTCGCGTTGTCACTCGGAGATAGCGACAAGATAAATACAGTTATTCGCGAATATCAGGTAAGTTGATGATGAAACACCACAATTTCAGACCTATCGCGTGGTTTCGGTGATGTCAATTCACTAGGGTAGTCAAACGGATAATCGGAAGGTCAAGGCATTGTTCCGTTTAATGGGGGTAGCTTACGTGTGATTCATGGCTTAACCAACTGTGCATTAGTTGGTTTTTACTGGGTTTGTAGTTTGCATTCACGTCACTCTTGCTCGAACAGTACTCCCTCCATCCTGGATCCTTTATTATTGATAGTCCACGCCGTTTAATGGCAGTTTGTTCACTGTGAATAATCGCCCATCCTCGCAGAGAACTGATACCAACCCCTGGAGTTAGAGTTCAACTGGATGACGACGGTAGAGGATGTTTACTACAGGGAGCTGGGATTTGTTGTAACCAATTCAGTGTTCTGTGTAAATGGTGGGCTATCAGTTTATTCTATGACGGCGGCTCCGAAAGTTCTGTGTCCTCTAGCATTAAAATCCCATCCGGTGATAGGATCCTAGTTTTCGGGTATGTAAACGATACTCACTGACCGTTATATGCTGTATGATCGCTCTAAATATGAGGGTAATCCATATGATGTTAGTTCTTGTCTCACAAGGGCAGGAACCCGCACTTGCAGTCACCGTGGATGCATGAACAATTACCAATAGCCTTCATCACAGCCGGTGTTAGCATTCAATAAGAGATGCCGCTAAGGGTATTGGGAACACAGACAGCCTAGTCTATAGTGGGTAATTGAACTGACTACCCTCTCGATCTACTCCGGGTTACTGCTGTGAGCCTCTGATGATGCAGAAGCCAATGTGGCCGGATATCCTGGGGTGGGTATTGTATTGAGCGAACTAGCGGAGGCGTCTCTAATTGAACATAAGCCCCCACGTGGACAGGCTAAGCGCTGCTGAGACCCGATTGGATGGTCATCTTGGAGTGGACACGAGACGCGCGGACAAGAGAGATCACCTGCATCACCGATTTCCAGAACAGCGGAAATCGCTTGACGAAGTGGTGCCCATCAACGAACCAGCCCCGAATCCAAATAGACCACATCACCGTCAGTTATCGGTGGCGACGGTCGATAACCACCTGTCACTCCTTCTGGAACACCAGCGTGAACTCCGACCATTCAATTGTGCGCTGCTACTTTCCATTGCCCTTTTTAGGTCTATGCAAAACGCTCACATGTCACTCAGCCATTGAGAAGCTAAAAGACCCAGAAATCAAACGAAAATACTAGAACCGGCTCCTCGAACGACTGTCAGACAATCCGATGTCGGATATAAACGGCCACTGGGAAAAGATATCCAAAGCGCTACTCACAACAGGAACATCTGTTTGCGGTACAACTAAGCCACCCTCATCGAAACACTGGATCTCTGATAGGACTCTGACTTCGCTGGAGGCCCGGCGATAGATTGCTGCTGGCCGCATGTCATGACTGTATAACCCATACCTTTGCATAACCCATTAACTCGTGATTCTCACTCTATTTTCAGCTCATGTACTATAGTTATTAGACGATTAAAGTGTACATTACGTCTTCCTATTCTGTCTCCTTT